TGATCATTTTTACACAACTTTTAGACAAATTGTTCGTTTGATCATTTTCTTTCCCAAATTGTCATTTTCTAAAAAATCAATAAAACAACATTTATTTGGAAATACTTGGCAACAAATAACATAAATATAAACTATGGCTATTGCCTTATCTTTAATAAATAGGTAAATCAATTAATATAATTAGGGCGTGCTTGGATATAAATATACCCGCTCAAAATGAGTTTTTTTTGGTTCACTAAAGTTAATTTTGATAAAAAAATATTGTATGATTAGTTATTAGTGAGATTCTAAGTTTATATCAAAATAATATTTAAAATAAAATAATTAAAATTGATTTGATATCAAAGTTGAAAACATATGATGTGAACTGATAGTTAGTTAAAATTATACAAATAGATGAATAGTGAATTAAATTTAATGTGATATATAAGAATGATTGATTGATAATAATATAAGAGTGTTAAATAATTGTAATATGATGAAAAAATAGTAAAATAGTAATTAATAGTTGTAAATATAAATGTAAAAACCTTGTAAAAAAAGCAGCTAAATGATAAAAATTGAGGAATAAAAAATGAGATAATGAATATTGTATTTTTTTTCAATATCCTATCAAGCCTTCAAACATTCTATTGCTTTGAATAGGAAAATGAAGACACTGTGGTCATGTCTATAATTTTATATTGCGGTTTATTCTCACCTTTTTCGGCAATTTTTTCCCCTTTTTTATTTCCTTTATAGATATCTGGACCATTTGGTTGGGCCGATACATGGGCTACTTTGTTGGGTTCCTACTATTTTAGGCCCCATTCGTTTTTGATTAAAAATTGTAGTGATTTTAATATGGAAAAGTTGGATCATTAAGCTCTGTCTGTTTAAGTCTGAGAAGGGTTATCATCCATTTTTTATTTCTTTTAATCACCGTTAAGTTCCATTTAAGTCTGAAAAGGGTTATCATCCATTTTCTACATTTTTTAATCACCGTTAAGTTTAAAAAAATAGGGTTGTAATCTATTTTTCACATCTTTTAATTAGTGTTGTTTTATTAGTCAGAACATTAAACGTGAGCATGTTAGGGCTAACTTGTAAAATAATTAATATATTATCTCACTAACACATTTATACTAATATTAATTTAATTTTATTATATATATTTATTCATTGATATAAGAGAAAATAACAATTTTACTTATTCTTGTTCACTATATAATAGTTAATTATTATTTTACTATAAACTTTGTTGCCATATAATGTCATTATTATTTATAAAGTTATAGAAGTTGCACGTCTTCTTGTTCTTTTTATTTTATGTAATGAAATATATTTAATGCACATTGGTATTATTTATATAAGTAATCAATTTAAAATATGTAAATAAATTTAAAATTAAATAGTGTATAAATAATGTACAAAATATACACATATATTTTTTTAGAATTTAATTTTGTATACTAATTAAACAACTTTGATTTAAGAAAAGTCATGAACTCAATCTCTTCTAATATCAATATTTTTCTAATTTGCGTTATAATGATTATTCTTATTATATATATAGATTAGAATTTTTTTGCTACACCAACCAAACTAAATATCACAACAACTAAGTAACAATTATGAAAAACCCATAACACAACAACTATCAATTAAATTTGGTAATAGAAAAATTACATACATATATATAAAAATATAAGGATTCTATATTTCTATTAACTGGTGTATACAACACATGTATATTTTGTTAAGGTATATTGGAATGTTCAATTTCATAGCATGATAACAATCAGTCTTAAAAACTTGAAAATCTTATTGAAATGTCATATTTTTCTGTTAAAATAAAGTTCCCATAAAAAATAATTATATCATAGCAAATTCATTGTGTAATTGAACAAATTTCTATAATGAAACCCGATTTTCTGTACAAAAATAAAATAACAACTTTCACATTTTAAGGAAATCAATTAATGTTAGTCCGTTTTTGCTAAGAAAATAATAATTAAATAAATTGTAATTAATGGAAAGTAATTAATGATGAGAGAGTTTGACCATATAGTTGACCTGCCATTTTAAAATGATAATTCTTATTATATATATAGATAAATAAATGAGTTAAATAAAATATTAATATCGAAATAGTAATGACATTTAATGCAGTTGACTTTTCTGGATACTAAATCTAGTAAATAGGATCCTTTTATATAAGTATAGATTTTATTTTTATATTTACGACTTTTAATGATTATAAATATACTAAAACTGGAATATGCAGATTTTCTATTTGGTTCACAAATTCAGATTCCACTCAAAAATTAAATTTCTTGCACAATCACCAGTCAAAACATATACATTCAACTTGAACAACAAAATCATGAGACAATCTTGGACACATGGCTCCATGCAACTAATATGCTGATATTTCCAGGCCTAGCTAAATAATAATAAATATATTTATAGTCATTCAAAAAATTTAGCAGCCAGTCTCATTACTAATCTTATATAGGTCAAATTATTTCTCCTTGCTAGATTTTGAGGTTTTCTACTGTTGAAATCCTATGGTAATTTCACTGTAACTATAGCTGGAATAGGTAAATAATAATATAGAAACCTAATATAGTTTGGTCAAAGATATATGTGGGATTTATGTATATGATGCAATCAGTGACTGTGACATTGATAAATTCACAAAGGCTCTGTTTTTATTTTCAATTTATGTGTGTATATATTGACTGTAATTTTTAGGGTCTTATATCATGTGTGTGTGTGTTATATATTCCATATTTCTCCATTCAATACCACAATTTGTTCATTTTTTGCATGATATTCTTGTTAATTTCCATAATTTTTTTTTTTCCATTACGATTAAAAGAAAGAATCTCTTTGCCTTCACTGCGCTTCGCTTCGTTTGTATGGTCCTTCGAATTGACATTTTCTTGTACTTCTAATATGGATTTTTATTATGTTGATCCAAAATTGCCCACGTACGAGTAGTTACAAAATTTATATTCATCTTTGCTTCATGATTTTTTTTTTTGTTTTTTATTTTTTGTTTGTAATTAAAAAAATCTACGAAAATTCAAAGTCAATCCACAAATTCAAATAGGCTTTTCCAGGTTACTATATAATACTATACATTTTAAACTTGTCAAAATAATTAGCATTAATTTAATAGTTTTTAGAGAGTGGTAAAAACACTTGTTATAACAGGATCTTTACATCTGTTTAGTAAAAGTCGCACAATGGTGTTTTTGTAAATAAATGTAACAAAATTGTTCAAAAACTTGTTCCTTGGCGAATATATATATGTATATATATGACCAAAATATATAAGAATTTGTTAATGAAATATCATGAATTTAGTATAAAGTACTGTAAATTATAAAAACAACAAAACACCTAATTAATGAGTAAAAAACAAGCATACNNATAAGCAACTCAAACCACAAGCTCAAACTCATGTTTATATGTGATTGCAACATAATCTCCATTCTTTAGTTCTTAGTGTAAAATCCAAAACATGAACCTAAAAATTTGCTGCTACTCACATGATGTGTTATCTCATCAACTACACATCTAAACAAGTGGTTACCTTTGAATTTGATTTCCAGTGCATGTGAATAAATTCAAAAAATATTAAAAGGGAAAAAAAAAAGGTAAACATGAAAGAGAGACAAAGAAAATGGTTGCTTTATAGTTATAATAGGCACCGCGAGAAAACTCACATTCAGTTGGAAAATTTCAAGAATAAATACCAAAATATTATGAATCTAAAAAATATTCCATAGCGAAAATAAAAACAATAGTTTTTCCCGATTTTAAATTGAATCGTCAAAATTCATATAAATATATTAGTTCCATTTATGATTCCTACACTTGAAAAAAATCGTAAATTTTGATAATTTCAGTAGGCAACATAATTTACTTTCTTAAGGCCCATCAATCACATTCTCTGATCTAAAATGCTCCATTGAAAGAAGAGTATAGTGAGTGATTCGTTAACTAAACGAGTTTGAGCTCGAGTTCGCTAATCACTCATTCCTTTTAATAGCTCTATATATGAATACGAGTATAATTTTATCCTAACCACTTATTTAATCATGTAACTAACCCTAACTAACTAACTATATGTTAAGGCTAACTACCATTTGACTGGACTCAATAATATAACCTGCAACATTTCACACTTATGCTACTCTTTTTTCTTTCCAAATGCAGGGGAAAATTTTCGAAACTAGTCACAATGGTATAGAGGGTGACATTTTTTGTCTCTACGAAATATTGAAAATTAAAATAGTCCCACAACTTATAAAAAAACAATCAAAAGTAGAACTTTGATTCAATTTATGGTCTGAAAGGCCCAAAAAACCACGTGGCGCAGATGTGACGTTTTTTCTTGACATGTTGACAACAGTCATCACACGTGGCATGACACTATGTCTGTGAGACTAGTTTTAAAAATTTTCCTATTTTTTATATTGTTATGGTTTTCTTTTATTATATATATATATATATATATATATTAATCAATATAAATATATTATTAAATAAATCTAAGACGAGATTATGAATATATATAAGTATTTATTATAATTTATAACTATTTATAAATAATTTTAATTATGAATAAAGATACAATATACATTAAAATAAAATTAGAAAATTTTTTTAATTACTTTTATTTTGTGATGATGTGTTATTTTTCACTAGTATTCTTTTAGCTTTTACTCTTGAAGTATATATGGGATATTAGAATATAGGTTATCATGTGCATATAATATTTATAAATTGACTTTCAACTTTGTAGTTAGTAATTAGATTAGAAATTTGAAATGATTACTTAACCTGATGTATACACTTTGATCATTATATATATGCTTTCACCTCTTGAGGTAACAGCACATTAATTAATCAGCTAATTAGTGTCAAAGCCTGCATCAAATTCAGAATAATTTGTCCAAGAACAGCCTCAAAATCAGTCATTAACTGCAGTGCAATTTAGCCTTATCCAGAAGCAAAACAGACCACAATTAACACATACAGATACTTAATTAAACCTAATTAATCACCCTTCAACTAAACAACAGTTCATACACGACATAATTAACGACGTTAATCAAATTCAGCACAAAAAGCATTACAAACCCCTCGATCGATTTTCCAATTATCTATCAACGCCGTTTAATTAAACAAAAGGTAGCAGAACTTACATGTCACAACAGTCCATTATAAGCTCCTCACATGTTCGAAGAGCTGCACAACAC